TTGCGCTTTATTTACAATGATGATAAAAGCTCGTATGAGGAATTATTATTGCGTATTAAGCATCCCACTTTATTTAATAGAAGAATTCATAATATTTTAACATTGGTATTTAAAGCTTTGCATGGGTTGGTTCCAGAATATATTTCTAGGTTATTTACTTTATGCAACTGCAAGATTAATCTGAGGGGGGATAATATTCTTATGGTACCCAGGGTTAATACCACTAGCTATGGCCTCCACTCATTGGCCTATCAGGGTAGTAAGCTATGGAACTCTCTTCCCAATAACATAAGACTGCTACACGAATTAAGTCAATTTAAATCCGAAATTTCTAAATTGAAATTCGACCTGTAGAATAAATTTTACTTAGTTTTTATCTTGTTTAGAAATTATATTTTAATATCCTTTGCTTTAGAATTATATTTTGTATTTTATGTATAGATAGTATTTAGATAGTTAGTAATTAGATTAATTTTAAATATTTTAATTTAGATAATTTAACTTGGAGATATTAGCATGTATTTGCTATCTTAAATTCAAGTATAAATAAAGCTATTGTCATTGTTGTTGTTGTCATTGTTGTTGTTGTCATTGTCAAGTCTTGGAAAAATCATCCGAGGCACATAAACAAATTATATGATGTATGGTCAATTTCGTAACTGACTAGAATTAAAAGCAAATGTTTCAGTCGGGGTCTAAAATTAACAGCATAGATAAAAATAAACTGCTACAATTATTTCAAAAGTTTGTGAGCTTATTAATAACTTAGCATAGAATAACTTTTAAATATAGCTAAGTACTGTTGCTTGCAACTCCAATTGCATCTATATAGAAGTACCATGATAATTTTAATTTACCTCTTCTAGACATATTTTAAAATCTTCTTTTGATCGTTGCCCCTTATAGTAAATGTCTCTACTTTCATACTGATATATTACCGTCTCCAATAGCTGCAGATCAAGAGAAAATTATCAATGTCGTTATCCATCACTGTTTTTATTCAATAGAGGGACAGATCTAGGATTTTTTGATAAGGAGATGCAACCTTCTAGAAACACAGATATTTTGCTTTTCTTAGCATGGCCTAAATACGCATTGAAATATTGCAAGATGAGTAATTATCAAATACTTCTGATCTAGAAGCCGTAGACCATCCTGTCATTGCAATAATGCTTTTGATAAACCAGTAATAAAAAATCCCACAAGTCAGATGATTGCAGATCCCTGCAACCCTTCTTGTGGGTCTGCTACTATAATATATACAAGTGAAAAAAATTCATCACAGCTATGAAGAGTATTGACCCTTCCTGTTTAAGGAGAAATATCATAAAAGCATCCGTCCGTCCATCGATAGGCTCAAGCTTACTAAATGAACAAGTACAAATGTTCCACTCAGGTAAGACTACAAATCAAAATATCAAATAAGATGTCCACCTAAATTTGCCATAGCATTGTAATAGAAAAAAAGCAAAGAGCAAAAACAAAAAATTGAACAGTCAAATAGGAGTTTATTAGCATATAAAACTACCTTGACTGGCTAAATTATGCCTGCCAGCCCAACGATTTTCACAAAATTTCCCTGGAAAATCCTTTAGAACTTCTTGATTGTATCAGATGTTGAATGGAGGTTTCCAGCATTAGGATATGTTAATTACTTCGAATTTGGCTTTCTCCTTTTCTTACATGTACATCGGGTGTACAGCCTTACTTTCGCATGTACTTTGCAGTGGTAAAGCTTTACAATTATTCAGTGATGCGGTAGAAAACTTATGAAAATTGGTACGAACTTTGAAATCACCTCAACTTACATTCACCGCTGTTGAGGTGGTCAACAATTCTAAACAAAACGATATCAATAACTACATCAAAATTTTCTTGATACCAGATCATAAGTATTTTGAGAAGTAAATCTAGTTTCGTTTTCCAATTTCGATGCAATCCACGGTTTTTAACCACTAATGACTCCGTCGCTAAAACCTAACCATAATTTTTGAATTCGAATCATAAAGTTTATACTCCTGGAAACAATAGCTGAAACAGATTAAACTTTGATAAATAAAAAGCTCGGTCATTTGTGCAGCCCTTACCACGAAGAAAGCTCGTTTTCGTCTTCCAAGCTTGCTTGCACGATGAAAAACTAAATTTCCTTCTAAATGTGGAGGAGGACGAGTCTATAGGATGAATGAAAACAAAACTAAGAATAGCACGGGTAAAAGTTTGCAAACAATGTATTAAACGACAAAGATTTTTACCAGTGTTGCACCCCTCATTTCCCTATCTGTAGCCATGTTTTGACCAGCTTAGCCTCACTCTGAAGTGCACAAAACGAGATTAAGTGGAGAGGAGGAGAGGAGAAAGGAAAGTCATCATTCAGTACTAGTCCTCCTCATAGAGTCTTTTTCAAGATGGCGGCTTTGGCGATGGCTTGTTCCAAAATGTGCACTTTTAGTACATTTGGGGCGAGATCTTTTCTCCTAAGTACCAGGATTAATCAAGGTATTGTGTATATGTGATCATCTTGTTATAAAGTCCATCATGCAGTACCTCATCAATTTCCAGAGAAATACCAACGTACTCACAGAACGATTGAAATCTGTGGCATGAAACTCAGTCGTCGACAAAATAATGACAGTGCTTTAGTTTTAGATTGCTTGTTTATGCAACGGTATCAATTCCCCATTGTATTTAGTCACTGTTGTCAAGAATTGTAGAAAACCAAATATAAAAGCGTACTAAGTATATCTTTATGTGAAAACTGGCTTCAAAAGATGATTCTTTCGCGCAATGACCACAGCAGACAACAAGAAGGCGCAATTCTGAACCTTTATGGACGTAAAATGAACTGCAGAATTTTCATTTTTGAGGTGAAATAGGTAAACGGTGGTTGAAATGATTTAAAATAATGACAGTCATTTCTGTCGCAAAATCATGTTTACTACCTGCCTTCTTCATTGGTGAGGGGGAGGGGGGGGGAGGTCACTGGAGGAGTCTCTTAACTCTTGATTTTAGCCCTGTTTGTAAACACTCTGGATTATTGATGACAATCATTTTCCATTTTTGCTTTTCTCTCCTGCTTCCCACCATTTCTTCACCAATATTCTTACTCTTTTACCTTGCCAGTTCTCAGAGCCTTCCATCCTTGTCTCCCTTTACTCAATTGTCATGGCAAAATTAAGTATTGATTTGAAATGATTGCATTGTTGCACAATCATATTAAGCTCTTGATGGTGAAAAATATGTGTGGCTTTTTGAAAAATAAAGAGGAGGAGGGTGTTGTCCCATAAGTGATTATGATTGCATTTTTATTAGGCTTGTTGGGAAAAAAAAAAATTTCATGTTCCCCATCATATTTGTAGGATTGAACACCCGGCTCCTGAGCTCAACACAGCAGAATTCCAGGAAAGTGGACAAATCATTGCTTTCTAGATTGAGAAAGGAAACTGGATTTGGTTTTGCTAAATGCATGGAGGGTCTTCAAGTAAGCAACAATGATTATTATGCAGCTTTGACATGGCTGAAGGCAGAGGCAGAGAAACAAGGCTGGGAGAAGGCTGCTAAACTACAAGGGAGGGCTGCAGCTGAAGGACTTGTTGGAGTTTTGGTGGATGGTAACTTTGGTGCCATGGTTGAGGTAGGTTATAAAACTCTTACCCACTTGAAAAATGATACATCTGTTGCATGATTTTTTTCCTGTTGTAAACTGTCTTTAAACTGAGCTTTTAGTTTTTATTTTTTAGGTACATTTTTTCCTGTAAACACTAGACACTTGTAGAAACCCCCAATAGAAATATTGAGCAATGTGTTAAAACATCCAGCCTCCACCCATGGATAAAATCCTTTCTGATGCTCTGATTGGTGGTTAAACCCTTTAGATCTCTAGACCTGCTTTGTGATTGTCACTCATCACTTTTCTTGATAAGAGAATGAGAAGGATTTGGTTAAATAGCTCTGTTCAATTGGATTTTGTTTATTCTCATAATTAGAATTTCCTTGTTAATTTGATTTACCTTTAACCCAAAGATCTGATTGTTAATTCTCCCCTCTAACTGCTACACATTTCCTTGTGAATTAGTTTTGAGAATTTGTTGTTAAATCAAAAGAACAACTTGTACCTGATATGTTTGAGTATTCTGATGACCTGTTTGCTGGATATTGTGAGGATAGTATGAGAGAAGTTACATGTTGATCACTTCTGGGAGTTTTAAAGAGTCAATGAATTAGATACAATGAATATATATGAAGTTGATATATTTTGAACTGCGGTATTAAATACGTATGATGCACGATCCTTCGCAGTAGATAGCGCTATTTATGCAATAACGAAAATCAGACCTGAAAAAAACTTAACGGCCTGCTCCCAGTTGGCTTGTTAGCTCAATTGGTAGAGCGCTGCACTAGTATCGCAGAGGTCAGTGGTTCGAATCCCGTACAGGCCTGATTTTTTTCAGGTATGATTTTCGCTATTGCATAAATAGTGCTATCTATTGCGAAGGATCGTGCATCATTCGTAGTCAATGAATTGTTACCATATGATGTGCAAATTTTAGAAAGGAAAAGATCATCTTAAGTTGTTAAGAAATAGTAGTCACTTGTTACTTTTTTTACAGGTTAACTGTGAGACAGACTTTGTAGCAAGGAATGAACTTTTTGTTGATCTGGTATCCAATATAGCAAACACAGCAATGGTAAAACGGAAGAAGATTGTTGATCAGAACCAAAAAGTTAACACATTTGCTGGTGAACTTGAACACTTAAGAGAGGTTATTCCAGAGCATAAACTGAGAAATGAGGAAATACAGAAAAGTGGAGAGACTGTGGCAGAAACTGTGACAAGAACAATTGGTAAATTAGGGGAAAACATCAAAATTAGCAAAGTTGTTACAATGACAACTGAAGTAAGCAATGTTATTGGTAGTTACGCCCATGGTCCTTTTGTAAAATATGTAGCAGGGTGTTCCCTTGGAAGATATGGGGGATTAGTGGCCCTAAGACCAAAAAGTGGCAACACTAATCTTGATTCTGTGCAGCAACTGGCCAATAAGGTAGCACAACATGTCGTAGGAATGAATCCAAAGGTTATTGCACAAGATGGCAGCAGTAAAAATGAGGGTGTTCTGAATGAAGAGACAAGTGACGTGTTACTTGAGCAGGAATACCTGTTGGATGAAAGTTTGACAGTGAAGGACTTGCTAGATAAGGAAGGAGTTGAAGTTGTTGATTTTGTTAGGTATGAATGTGGCACATAGTAGCTCTTGGATATACTTGAGATGTGTTTGTCATTACCAAACCCTGACTAAACACTAAGCTAAGCCGTATTGCCTCAAAAAGGCTTGGGGTAAGAGCTGATGTTTTTCTTACATTAGACAGCTTTGTTGCAATAATAAATGGACCTTAAAAATGTATCTCCTCTACTCTTTTCATCAATCTGAATGATAATTTTGCCTTGTCCCCTTCCAGCCCCCTTCCTGCTTCCCCTCCCCCCTGTCCCTTCTCCCCCCCCTAGAAAAAACGCGGCAAAAAAAGCTCATGCTATCAAGATACTCTTGTTCGCCCTTTTTATAATTTTGATCTTTTTCAGAGATCTGTTCAAGAATTAAAATAAAAAAAAGTTCTCCTCTTCCTTGGTAAATGAGTCTCAATCATGGTTAGCTGCAGTCCTGTTGGGTCAATTCGTTCATTCGCTGTACCACACTTTCTGCCGAACCATCAACAATGGTAAAGAAATCTTTTTTCGGATCTTTAACAAGTGATTCTAGCTGACCTCTGTGAATTCCCGTTCCGCTTGCAACTGTGATCACGTGTGTAGCATTTATTCTGGGATCCTATTGGTATGGGTTATAAAAAGTAAACAAAGTTGAAATGGTAAACTTTGTTGATATATTCAAATTAATTCGTTACCCGGCCCCACCGACGCAGCGCCACAGTTTCTTTAGAAACTATCAGCCTTTATAAAAGTAAAGATTGAATTCAGTTTAGGAAGAGAAGAAAGGCTTCCTCTGAGCTTATTGATTGGTTGGGAAAACTTGCACCATTTGTTTGACCAACCAAAATTGAACCAACTTAATTTTTATGTGCGTTAGTACAAGCTTGACATTAGCTAAGGGTAAGCCAGAAGCCGCGATGTGTTCCCAGTGGTTCGTAACCCTGTCAAGCAGGACAACTGCTTGACAGAGTTACGACACCAAGCCGCGACCAAAATGCTAGTCCAATATGTAACCTAGTCCCATTTTGTCTAATATGTAACCTATCAAGCTGTCCATGAGGGACTGGTATGTCAGAGGGGACAGCTGTTACAACTAAAAACTCCATAAACACTTCGTGAAGTTGTCTCGGAGGGAAATGTTGTATGACATTTTTGTCAGAAAAGACTTACCAAGTAATAACCTCCAAAGGCACCATCTGAAAATACAATCAGGATCTTGGATACTTTCGGCCTCGTGCCACTCTCCTCTCTGAACAGTTCATCAGCTGCTACCCTCAAACCCTCTTCAAAGTCTGAAAATGTACCGTGAAACAAAAAAAGTACAGGGCGAAATAGCTTAATTCACTTTCCGCGAAGAAGACGGTTTTGTTACACCACTGATGCTGTGTGACTGTTCTTCAAAAATTTCGGTACTTTCTCAACCACTCAGATGCAAAACTAGCTTCGATTGTGACTTAACCTTTTTTTTATTTTGCTTAACCCTTGATCCCTAAGGGTAATTAGCTTCTAATTTCTCCTTACAATATCACCGCTGAATCACACATTGAGGTCACGAGAATAAGGGAAATGATCAACTAAGGAAGCTCTTGATTGTTAACAAATTCTCCTTGTCAGCCCTTTAGGAAATGTATAGAGAAAAGTATGGAGAATATGCATACTGATGTTAGGGGTTTAAAGTGTTAAGACTGCTTAAGCTACACGTACCCGTGTCTCCATCACCGTAAACAAGTGAACCAAAAGAGGATTCGATGTGATCCGAGGAAGAAAATTTGGTGAAACTGGACAAAAGTGTTGGTCCCATCGGGAACCTTACAAGACACACGCGGGTTTCTGTTGGTTCCTCTTCCATAAGCTGTATCATAAAAGTTGCAAAGCGTTTCATCGACCAGAAGCCCTCCTCTGTTATACTTGTTGAAGTGTCAAACAACATTGCGACATCTTGTGAGGTCACGCACATACCTGAAAGGCGAGGAGTCTGGTTGATCAACCCTTTGACTTCCAAGATCTAATTGTTAATTTTCCCTTCTAGCTGCTACTCATTTTCTTGTAAATAGGGTACGAGAATTTGTTGTTTGATCAATATAAAAGCCTCTGACTGATAGGTTTGAGCATTCTCATTAACTGTCTGCTGGATAAAGTATAGATACTGTAGGGAGAAGTTACACGTTAATCACCTCTGGGAGTTATAGGGTTGACTTGCGAAATGACGAGTTCATTTTTCTTCTAGTCACCATAAAAAGTCCTTGTTAATAGCATGTTATATTGAGAAAGTTTTGTTGCCCACTGCCATATCAAGATCGCAACCGACCTGCGAGAACAGCGTTTTTTTTTTCCTCGAAAAGGAAAATGAATGTCTTATATCGATGTAACACCCACCCTGCAAAGCTTTCTTGTTTTCTCGAAGCAAACATGCCAGAAAGTCGCTTTTGTTCGCAAATTGTATGACACCCTTCAGTTGATAAGTTTGTGAATTTACCCGACGTTTTCGACGTGATATTTTGAAATGATGACGGCTACTTTATGCGGTTGATCACCTCTTGGAGTAAAAGGGTGAAAACGTTTAGCCAGGGTTAAAATCACATTTACTGAAATAAACCAGAATGTAGATCTACAGGTAGTATGTCTTTGAACGGTATGAAAAGTAGAATGTAACAGGACGCTAGCAAACCTACATGGATATGGTTGGATTCAATCGTTTGGGTTCCAGAATAATGCGGTGCCTAAGCCCATTGTGATCACTGAAACCCGCCTAAAATTTTTTTCATAACCAACACAAACAGAGCAAGGAATTTACATTTGGTCCAGCATGCCTCTGGCAAAGCTGAATGTGTTTCCCAGTGGTGTATTCACACTGGCTCTCACACACTGGCTTAATTGCAGCAAAAGAACACTCCTTCGGTCTGATTACAGTCGAGGAGAAATCTTTAGCTAGATTTCTCAACTAAATTTTTTAAAATCTGACTTACCTTTAGTCAAAGAAATGGCTGACAAGATGATAAACGTGATCGTTTCGGAGTGCTTTATCATTCTCTGAGACGGAATAAGAGTTGTCGACATCAACATGTGTGGCGACATTTCTTTGATTGCGTCATGTTGTGTTACCCCTTTCTCGACATCTAAATCTTTTATAGAGCTCTTGAAATTCTGCAAATGTTTTGAACTCGGAGTCATTTTCATTGGGGTAAATTTCTAAAGAAACTGTGCTGCGTCGGTGGGAGTAAAATATGTAAATTAGCTGCTGTAAAGAGTTTTAAAGCTGACGTTTCCAGCGTTAGCCCTTCGTCAGAGCGAATTTTCAGTGGATCGCGTAAGGGAATTATCCAGGTGAAGGAAGTGCTTAAAAGCACCTGATCTAGGTGGCAGTGACGGACGTTTTGACAACTGGAGTTGAGATTATTAGTAGAGTCAAAGGAAGGGTTCTTTGTTAGTCTGATCGACTTTTAAAATGACACCATAACCTTCTCTGAAATTTAAAGTTGTCCTGCATATCAAACTTATCCCGTTTGTCAAAGAAAAAATTTTAAGAATAATCGAGCTTTGCTGCTATCACTTGACCTGCTACGAATGGAGACCAAGTTTCTGGCTAACTGAGTGACGGAGTTATCCAAGGAGCGGTTTTTTCTAGGTGGTCTTGTATGAATCTCAATACGATAAAGATAACTCAGATAATGAAAAAACGACTTTTAAATTTCCATACCTCGCTGATCTTCAGACGGGAATTCGTTTGATTTAAATCTTAAGAGGTGGTTCTCTTACTAATACAAAGAGCGTATGAAGTAATTCAAAACCTCGACCACGTTTTAAGAATGGTCTGTGCGTGAAAATTCGTGCAAAAAAGCTGTTACAAAAATTAACGTCTTAAGTTAGGACATTGGCACCTGAGAGCCAGGCAAATATTAGCTAATAATTGTTTGATTGCGATGAAGTAAAAAAACTTTCCCTTGAGAAGAAGATCAAACAAAACTGCATGCTTTACTTCATATTTTCAGCGGCGAGGCTCGAAATTTAACGAACATTTATAGCATGAAGTATTTTGCAAATGATATAGTTGTAAGGTTATTTAGAGCAAAGAAAGAAATACTAGAAAACTTATTCTAGTTCAGTGAAACTCATTAATTTCAGTTGGAAAATGAGATTTGTTAATTGTTCTTTTCAAAAGAAAGAATAGAAAATTCCATACAGAATGGAGAACAGTCTCTTAGTAACAAGAAATCAACATCCAATACGACAATCATGGAAGGCATTTATTTTGGAAAAATGTTGAAAGAAAGAAAGTTTCTAAGAACATGGAATATGTAAGGAATAAATGAATAAGGGAAGTATATATATCTTATCAGACGTTTTGCTGTGTAGTATCGCTGACCGGAGTATTTTTACGAGTTGTGCCGCATTTTGACGAGCCCTTAGGGCGAGTAAAAATACAAACAACGGGTAAAAATACTCAGCGATACTACACAACTAAACGTCTAATAAGAGATTTATTATCCAACACTCCAAATTGTTATTTCAGTGCGCGCGAATTTCGCGGATATTTCTGGAATACAAATATCGCGTGATATTTGTTCACGTCTCGCGCGTTATTTGTACTCTACGAAGCACAGTTGGATAATAATGTGAGATATTTATTCACGGAGAAACAGTTTGTCTCCATATTCGATGATATTCTGTTTGAAATCTGTGTAAAGATAATCAAAACAAAATGAAGGGGTAGAGTGCCAGGCTTCAAGGAAAAGTCTCTCGTGGTAATTAGATTCGAAATAAGGAGAAGAAAGTCATGGCAGGCGGTCAATGGTTTCTCTGGTCCGCTATCGTGGTGGTTTATTCAGGCATGTCTTGTCCTAACATTGATAATTCCTCTTCACAGTACAGTCGACGTGTTATTTTTAATTGCGAAAATGTATTTTCGTGGTCCCGGTCCTTTCACGGATCTCGGAGAAGTCTCAACGGCTTTGCTCGAATCCTTCAGCCATTTCGACCTCGAAGAAAGAGTTATCTTTCTGCTCGCACGTTGTACTCAAATCATGACGCGAGCACGGCTTCGCTATAGAGGGGATCGTACAGAGTGGGGAGGTGGCTATCAATCCAGGCCCTATCAATGCGAGTTCCATGACCGGCGAATCAAGGGGTTGCTCAATTTGCTGAAGAACCGTCGCGTACAACCATCGAGCGTTGACGTGTGATTCCTGTAATCGTTGGATTCACATCAAATGTGGACAAGTAACGCCAAAGAGATATGCTCAACTGCAACAATTGGACGAATTTGAATGGTCCCGTCCTCAATGCTGCTCAGTCAGTTCGGTTTCCGCACCTAGTTCCCTTTCTGTAAACAGCCGCCATCTTGTCCATCCTTCCTGTGAAACCCGCTCAAGGACCATCACTTCTAATCACCGCTCCTTACGTTGTGCTTCGTGTTCCAATTGTTATCATATGAATTGTGCTGCTGTGAGACCCGCAGAACACGCTCAACTCAGCAGCAAACGGTGGACTTGCTCTGTGTGTTTCTCAAGAGAGTTAATGAAAGAACTACCTTTCTCTGGTGTAGATGATAGTTTCGAAGCTTCAGTTGACTTAGAACAGGATGCAGAAGAAACGACGAACTGTGACGATGGCCCCTCTGATTTTGTAAATCAGTTTGAATACGGCACTTCCAATAGAGACCTCAAATTAGCGCACCTGAATGTGTGTGGTCTAAGGAACAAGATCGAGGAACTCAGATGCCTCCAACAACTTTGTAAATTTGAAATTCTCCCAATCACCGAGACACATCTTGACAAAAAGGTGCCAGATTCGGAAATATTAATCCCAGGAATGAAGTTCGTAAGATTAGATAGGAAGGGTCGAAAAGGAGGGGGATGCTTATTATGTTATGGGGAGCATTTGCATGCTACTCATCGCAAAGATCTTCTCACACAAAACATCGAAGCAGAGTGGCTGCAAGTCAAATTCCCAAGTTCTTCAGTGTTGTTTTCAGTAATCTACAGACCGCCAGATCTAATTACTGAAAACAACATTTAAAACTTTATTTTAGATCTAATGATTAGATCATTAGATCTAAACAAAGTTGCGCGAGTGTGTAATATTTCAATTTGGATATTTGTGGCCTCACATCATTGTGTATCACGGTTTCGTTCGATTTCTGATCTAGTCGAAACGCCGTTGCTTATCATTCAGTGGCAGATTGGTATATATGGCTGGAGTCACTATCTCTTATATGTTAGTCATTGATCTTTTTAAAGAGTTGTTTCAGTTCTTTGATTAAACCTCTGAAACTCTGTGAATGTTATGCCTCACACAAAAGGACGCAATCAAAAAATCTCGTTCAGTACATTCGTGTGTAGGACGTTGCTAACAGCAACATTACTAGACTTAAAGGTGCTGATGTAAGCTTAAAATGCAATGTTGGCTGGCAAACTATTCAGACACACTTTATTATTATGCGCTCTTTTGTTTAATAGTCAAACATTTAAACCGAACATCCTCAAAAAGTGGGCCACAAAGTGTTTTGGCTCTGCATAAAACTTCATTTGAAATACGCACAGAAAGATAGAAAAGTACTCAAGAGACAATAAAAAAGAAAGTAGAAACGATGATGGATTTGGGTGGCTTTTTGTGTGGCTAGGATTTTTTAAAGGATAAGGGGGGGAAGGTCTATTGCGTCTCCACCAGAGTACTTCCTAGATTGTCATGTCGCCTTCCCCTCTAAATTTTATCGCCGAAGTTAAATTTTCTTGGGGGAAAAGAGAATGTTAGCAGAGAGACAAGCTTATAAAAGAGCTGCATGGATGAACGTGGTAATTGGAAAAGAGGATAAGAGGGACTTATGAAAGAGGAATGAAATCTTTTGTTCACAAGTAGGTGAGCCTATATTGGAGGGGCTTACATTTCGGTGGGGGGGATTTGAGCTTTCCCATGAAAGAGGCATGACGTGACTGTTAACTTTTTATCTTGACTTATCGGTTAATGATGGCAAGATGCTAGGTTTTTCACCTAATCCAATATCAAGGTATGCGGTGTGGGTCAATGATGACGCTCAACTTTTAAGAATATTCCTCTCTCTCCATAGGATGCGATGGTTTTCAAATTTCCCGAGTCCGTGAACGAACGCGCTTCTTTTTACCTAAGGGGAAATAAGAAACACTGTGGAGAAGGAAGCCCCAGCTACGATGGGCGAAGATGGCAACGAAAAAGCAAAGATAGCTTTCGTGTCGACAAATCAAGAAACGAGGAAGGGAATTGTTTATGATCCAATACTTCGTCGCACCCGGCGAAAGGGGCAGAAGGAAACCACTCTCTTTTTTTTCCTTTTTTATTATCCTGAGCCTAGAACATCATGCATACTAAAATAAATAAACAGAAAAAAATGGTAGATATATGGGTAAAATTGGATAGCAATGCTTTTGAAGAGTGACATATTTTAGTTCCACAGTATTAATAGTTATCAGTAATGAGCAATACAAATGAGTTGTGTTAAGGAACACTGAAAAAGAACATGAACATTTTTAATTAAAATGAAACAGTATTACCATATTGTTGGTTAAACAGTGAGTTTTCCTTTGCTAATATTTATTTTTTTGTCGTGTTCATATTCGAAAATGCTCAGATAAATGCGGAATTATATTTGTGATTTATTGTAGGTTGAGCGTGCTCTTGCTCAAAAGGCGAACAATTCAGTTTCTGCAATCAAAATTTAATGTTTAGCTGTTTTCGTTTGTATCGGTGAAACCGGACAGTGGGCAAGAAATTGGATAAAAAATAAATCTTTGCTTCAACGATTAGAATAAAGAAAGAAAATCAAATAAGCCCATTGTGTACCAAAACATACATTCCTCAGTTTTGTCTCAAGCTGTTTACTTTTTCATTATTCGCTTTTTATCTCAGTTTAACGATTGATTGTGAGAGGTAACCTGGAAATAAGACATTAAAATGGTAGAGATGTTTTAAATTCATAAATTGTCTGTGAAGTTTCCTTGTCCAACAGTCGCTTCGTTCCGGTTATAATTCTTAAACGTGACATAGGATAAACCTCAATTTTCCTTGTTGTAGCAGCTAACGTGTTCGTGCAGCACAAGAACTTCCTGTGGTAATTTTTGTACGAGCAATATTGTAGACCATACTGTACATTTACGTCACGAAAAAATTCTTGCGCAACTTCGTCTACGTGCATGATTTTCAGGTATCACTGTACAAACGCGATAAAGATTTTGTTTTTAGATTTTGTTAGTACCACTGATTATTTTCAGTTATTATCAACTCAACGAATCATGTTTTAAAGAAGGATCTTCTCAAGTTCTGCTATTCAACGATTTTAATTTCCGATTAAAGTAAACATTATCCCTCGTAGAAACTAACAAAACAGTTGTTAGCAGATAAATGTTTGTTCCTGATTATCATAATAGATATTGTTTCTTTATCGAAAGAGTCTATTAACGTATAAAAAGGCTCGCAATGAAATAGAGTCCACTTAACTAAAGCTTGCAACAACGAAACGTTGAAGTTTGTATCAAGGTAAGAAATACAAGAAATGATAACATTTTATCACCCGCAAGGAATAATCCTAAATAGTCTAGAAGGCAAAGTGGACACTAACTATATGCCTGGATAATTAGTTCGCTTAAGAAAGTGTTTCTGAAGTTAGAGTTTTTTTCTTACAGGTCAATAGAGAACATGAAAATCCTCTTGGCCCTGATCGTTTTTTCCCTGTATACTCTGCGCGCCCAAGGTAGGTTTGCAACATTATATTGCGTTACAGTTGTAAACAGAATAAAAGTTCACCCTTCTAATCTTTTCTGAATGAGCAATAGACTCTATTAAGAAGAGGTTTATTTTTTCAAATCTTCTCTTTCCTGAAACCTTAAGTGATAGCTTTGAAGGGAGTTTTCTATATGAAGAACTAAAAGTTATTCTCAGTAAGGGAAAGTAAAGATCGTAAATTTCGATGAAGCAACCTGGTAAACTAGTTCTTTGACAACGCGAATTGTTACGACCAGTCATTGTGATTTGACGATCCGGAGTTTTGTCGCAAAAAGCGGATAAAATCCAATTGTAAAAGACAATATCGAACAACTAAAAAGCATCGAAAGAGCACTTTAGTTGTATATATATAAGAGCTTACTTTCGCTCTGACGAAGGGCTAACGCTTAAAACGTCAGCTTTGAAACTCTTTACGGAGCCCAATTTACATTATCAACTCAGTTGATAAAACCTAACTTACCTTGTTTCTCCCAACGACACAGCACCACAATTTCTTTAGAAAGTTACCCCCTAATAATATATCAACAATGAATACTTTCGGATGGTTTTTTTTTTTTTTTTATATCTTATCCCACGTTTGATTTTGAGATCGAAGTCTCCTTCTTTCAAAACAGAACAAAAGCTTACTTTACGCGATACGATTCTCCGCCTGAGTTTCTGCTTCTGTCCGAAAGCCAACCAGTTTTAATGTAAACCTTCTTTCTACCCGTGTTCATCGTAAGAAAAAAATCAACAACAACAACAAAAAACCAGAAAATCTCAGTTAATCAAGCAATGCTTCAAACACGAAAAGGATGATTAAATCGCCAAATGAAACTGAACAGAATATCAAACATGTCTGATGTAATAGCTCGGTGTTGTTTTTTCAACAAGACATGTATGAAAAGACATTTGATTGACTGATTTTTAAAACAGGAAATTAAATTTGTTCACATATGTGTTCAGTACTTCTATGGATCATGATTCTAAACAATAATGCATATGACCAGAAGTATCAGAACAAGCATGATTCTTCCTAAATTCGCTGAAATTGATAGGAAGGTCGAAAAACAGCTGCCCAAATAGAAGACAACCATTATGCTGGACTAAACATACATTAAGGAATAAGAACCAGTATTCCTTTTGAACATGTTTTCATTGTTATTTGCATCACATATTGCTGCTTCTGTAAAGAATGCATCGATCATGAGGAATCTGAAAACCGCCAAGGCGAGTGGGCTCCCTGGATAAATGTATCTTATTAACCAAGCGCGAGGGCCGTACTGGGAGAATATCGGCCCGAGGTCTTGACAGTACGGACCGAGCGCAGCGAGGTCCGTACAAGAAAGACCGATGGCCGATATTCTTCCAGTACGGTCCCAAGCAAGCTTGGTTAATAAGAGATTTATTATACGACTGAAGTTCAAAGTAATCAAAACAAAATGAAGGGGTAGACCATTCGGGACAGTGCCCGGTCCAATACTTAGAGAATATTGGACCGGTAACAGAGCATTTTGATTGGTTGATTTTAGTTATTGGCCCTCTGACTGCCCGAGTCGTGTAATAAATATCATTATTATTATCATTATTATTATTATAAGTGATTACACCAGTTAAGACAATATTTCTATAATCAGATCAAATATCAGCTCAGAATTCAGTTCGAGTGAGTATGGAAGGCGTGAACCCATTTGACGAAAGAAATGTCGGAGATGGACGAAGAAAACTCCGACTGCCCAAGGCTGAGTTGAAAAACAATGATGAAAATGATAATTAAAAATAAATATGACTATAATAATAACACTGATATCCATGTTAAAAATGTCTCTATTCATATGATGTGGTGCATACAAACGTTACGGAAACTGCGTAGGGTCAGTTGGAAGCGCTGTGATATAGAAATGTGATGCTAAATTGTATTGAAAATAAAGCCTTTAACGAAATTGTTTTTAAACCTTCAAAGACTATCCTAGGCTCTTGACTTTAATAGTTCTTCGACTCAATTGTACGGAAAACATTTCAACCTAGCAAAATGTGTGTTACATGGGAAGGAGGAAATTGTCAATTCTAATGTTTGTCACTTTCTCAATTCATCAGATGTAAAACTAAAGCGAACCACGATATACTCATCGCCGGCTTTTTCCCACGCTGTTATCACGTGCTTACTTTGATTTCTCATTGCCTTCTACTGGTACTTTTCTTTGATCTGATTGGTTGTTAAGATTACTTTGGTTTTAATCGCTCAATGCATTGATCGCAGGTCAGAACCAATTTGCGACATGCAGCCGAAAATGGAGTAAAATCGGATGCTTTAGGGACAAAATTAACCCTACGCGACCCCTCCCTGAGATGCTTCTGAACGACAGGGACAGACGCAGCAAGTATCATCAACCGGGCTACCGGCTACACTGGGGCAAATGGAAAGAATCTATCCATAGGTAATGGCTTTGATGAAAACTGTGTTTTAGTCCAATAAAGGCGAGCAACACATGTAGCAATGGGATGGCTCCATAGGGTTTTAGCTAGTCTGATTATGACGCACGCACCGGCGTTATGTTTTCATGGAGAATTGTTGATGTTTTCTGTTGTCAAGATCATAAAAAAAGAGACCAGAGTGTAATAAAAAAGGGTAGGACTGTTGTTTTCTATAGGTTATATTATCGAAATGCTCTTCGTTCTTAAGCTGAAACGCGGAGACGCTTGTCACAGGTAATTTTGATTTTACTTTTCTCCCATTGCTGTCCACCGCAAATTTGTCCTACCGATCATTTGAAACTCTAAGAAAAGGGTTCCAAAGGAAGTTTCTTCGCCTTTTGCAAATTTTTGTTTTCTGCCTGTAACTTAGAATTGATGTTATTTTTTTTTTCATTGATTAAAGATGGGAAGGGCGCTAATGTAAATAAATCGCAAACGACGTCCGAATGAGGTAAGAACAAAGATGTGGCACACGAAGCGCAGCTGGGTGCGGCACTTTGGTAATATCAACTAAGCTGAAATTGTAAGATGGCCACTGTAAAGAGTTAAAAAGCTGACGTTTTGAGCTTTAGCCCTTTGTTCTGACGAAGTGCTAACGCTCGAAACGTCAGCTTTTTAACTATTTACATTGGCCATTTTACAATTTCATCTTAGTTGATGTCACCAAATCACCTTGTTACCCTCCCCTCCCTCCACCGACGCAGCACCACAGTTTCTCTAGATACTTACCCCCGATGGGTGCGCACCGCAGTTCTTGCCCCATTTTGACGTCATCTGGGACCTACAACTGATCAGACGCACGGCAACATAGCATCTATTTGTTTTATGTAATGAAAGGGTAACAAAATTATTAACTTTTTTACTCCCAAGATCTGATTGTTTATTCTCCCATCTAACTGCAACACAATTTTTTGTAAATTGTTCATGGGAATTTGTTGTTAGATCAAGGTAACAACCTCTACCTGATAAATTTGGGTATTCTTATTACCTGTTTGGTGGATTATGTATGGATATTATAGGGAGAAGTTACGTTTTGATCACTTCTGGGAGATAAAGGGTTGATGGTAACTCAGCTTATTATACGAGCTCCTATGAAACCACCATTATAGTAACAATTATAATTCGTTTTAGTCTGGCATGCCGATGCGCAGAAAAAGCTAAACAGAAAGGATACACAGTGTTTGGTCTGCAGTTTTATGGCGAGTGTTGGAGCGGCCTTTCTGCGGAGCTCAACTTCAACCGCGATGGCCAGAGTGATGACTGCATAATGAATCTTTACGATCCTGTTGACTGCTATCAAAACTCATCACAAGAATGTGTAGGAAAGCAAAAAACCAACTACATCTATAGACTGACAGACAGTAAGTTAAAAGTCATAAGTTTTGCTATATTGAAAAAAAACTTTTCTTTTTTTGGCATTCATTTGTGACGAACGCATGGGCGTTGGGCCTGCATACTTAATTGTAAAGCTCCAACCTACTGTTAGAAAGCATCAGAACGAGAGCGCGTAGGGGGGGAGGGAGGAGGGGGATAGGGGACGGGGGACGGGGACGGGGAAGCCAGCCCGGGGAGGGGCGACAAAAGGTCAACTGCATTTATAAATTGACAGAAGAATATAGGGTAAATTTATACTTATAATTTGTCTAAGCCTAACCCCTTCCCCTTCTTTTGCTATTTTTAGACGAACGAACGGGTTTTTTTTTTTTTTTTACGAGTGCGAGGAAGTCGTTCGATTCGCATGCGTGAAACCAGAGGTAGCCGTTGAAAGGAAAGGTTATGGTCACTCACATTAGATTTGTCATATTTGCAGTTAATCCTATCAGGTACTCTAACCAGAAACAATCCGTACAAATACTATAAGGGTTTTGAGTGATCTGTTTCCTGAGAAACATGGGTCGAATCTGATTTAAAAATAGCTTTCCGGAGGAAATAATCAACCATGGCCTTTCTACGGGACAAGACATGCTAGTTGTGTCTGTTCAGGAAGAATCCAAAAATAAAACAAAAGCGCCTTTCTCGGTAAAGGCTGCCAGATATTAGAGAAAAACAAAAAAAAAAACATCGATCGAAAGTTTCAGATCGAACACTATATAATCCGTTGGTGAGTTACATGCAGTTAAACTCAATCATTCCGAGTGCGCTGGCTAAGCACACATTCTTAAACATTCGCTCATATTTCTTGCTGAGGACTTTGAGAATGTAAATGTTATTGATCTATCCTTTTACTCTCACATTAGACCCAGGCCCTCAATCCCCTGATGTTGATGGGGGCTTCACCGAGTGGTCCAGTTGGACTGAATGCAGCAAGACATGTGGTGGGGGAGAAAAGGTTCGTGAGAGAGAATGCACCAATCCCGAACCAAAAGGAAATGGACAGCCGTGTGTCGGTGACTCTGAGGAAGCCGAGGTCTGCAACAGCCAGGAATGCAGCTGTAAGCTGAGTTCATCCTTCTACGCCCTAAAATCAGTATGCATAATCTCCCCACTGTTCTCTATTCATTTCCTAAGATGCTGACAAGGGGAATTTGTTTAACAAGGAGGAACTTGTTTAGTTGGTGATCATTTCGTCTATTCTAATGACCTTAATGTGTGATTCAGGGGGGGGGGTGATGTTGTAAGGAGATATTAGGTGCTAGTAACTCTAAGGGGTACCGGATCAAAGATTTAAAAGTGGTATCGATGTAGCTAAGTGAAAATTGTGACAATTGCGTGACAGTCTTTGACAAAACCTGGTGATTCTTGCGTGATCCTTTTGTACACGACATGCAGATAGCCTATGCACAGTGACAGGTATTTATTACGCGATAAAGTCACGCAAATAAGAGCGAAACTGATGATCTCTCATTGCTGCGATATGTCGATTAGTTCATTCTCAGACTTGTTGTTTTTCTTCTCATTAATAGATTGTGATAAGAAAATGGATGTTGGCATTATAATCGATTCGTCTAGTAGTGTGCGTCGTCTGAATTTCGAGAAAGTAAAGGCGTTTTTGGTCCAGCTTGTTGACAAATTGGACGTGGATCCGAGCATGACTCATGTAGGTGTCATCCACTATAACCACAGATCATTCCTGGACTGGGGATTAAATTCTGAAATAGCGCAGAACTCTGCTCTTCTAGAACAAGCCTTAATGAAGCTGGGGTACAAACCAGGAGGGACTAGGACTGACAGAGCCATACTGAAAGCAACAAACGAACTTATGAAAGATTCGGAAGGCATGAGGCCCGGTATACCTCATGTAATTTTGGTCCTCACCGATGGAAAGACAAGCTCGAGATCCATACCGTATCCGAAAGCCCTCGAGAAAGCGAAGGTACTGAGGCAAACTATCGTGGCTCTCACATTGACTTGGCACATAAGCCCCAAATTCCCGACGTCTTTTAACGACGATGCTAATAGAATCTTCACGTAGCTCTTACCTGATACAGACGGAATTTAAAGGAGCTTAAGTGTTGTTCAGTCAGCGTTGCCTATAATGAGCCACGTTTTTCTCCTCACAAACGTTACCTCACTATTTAAAAGCATGAAACGTTTCGTTTCCATATTCCTCCCTTCCGAGAGAGGCTTCTGCCGGGTAAATTGAATATAGGCAACGATAAATTGATGGAAAATAATAACAGCATATGGTTAGAAATAGCTAAAAAAAAAATTGAATTGAATCATTATAATTTTCTGTTCTTCTATTGTTTCCATTCTTTTAACCAGAAATTAGGTATTAAGGTGATCGCCATTGGGGTTGGTCGTGCTGTGGACGAAAACGAATTAACACAGATTGCAATGGGCAAAAGTGAAAATGTCCTTAAAGTAAACGACTTCGACGACCTTGTGACTAAGATCAAAAGTATCGTCAAGAGCTTCTGTGACGCAAGAAAAATTCAGTAACACAAGGTAAGGATTTTTTTTCTCTTTAAGAACCTTATATTTACCTCTTTAGATCTATTTTATAATTTTCTACATAACTGATGCAATGGAAAAGGCGTACCTGAGGTTGATCCCATCCAAGATATCTCCCAAAAAATAAAATATATCTGTATTAATGAAATTATAGAGCACAACGTAAATTCTTAATTTTTTGTTAAAATCACGAGTGGGAAATATCCCTAGCTGTAGAGGTTTTTTTTTAACCTTTCTAGGAAGATTTTTCATTTTGCCCCTTTTCAAGCCTTAAACACGAAGGCGCGCTATATAAGGAAGTCTTCCTTGGGAAGACCAAGGCTCATTTGTCACTCATCGTTGACGTGTGCGGATCAAATTTAAATGCTGGTAGACGAACAAAAGGAGCTAATGAGATATCTATTGTTTACTTCCACCAGCATGGTGGCAATGAGGTAACGTGCGAACCACCTACTTCGATCTCAAATTTACCGCCACAAATAAAGACAGTTTTCATTGGAGAAAGGGAGTACAAATCTCAAAAATTCTTGTATTGTGATGAAGACATAAAACAATTTTGAGGAATGCGCCCGATGTTCACTGCTTTGGAGTAGCTGTAGCTGAAGCTGACTTGACTCCAAGAGTTCTACATCACACGACAGTAGATTAACAAATGCTCCAGTGGGACTTAAGGCTCCTTTTATAGCGCGCCTTCGTGTTTAAGAAAAAAACATATTCCATTCGTTTTATGATCCAAAGAAAAAAAGAATACTTGTAAGAATTGATTCAGGATTCCTGCTTGTTTAAATTCTACTTTAACCTTTAACCCCTAAGAGCCAGTGACTAAAATCTAATTTCTCCTTACAATATCACCCCTGAATCACACAGGGGTCAGGAGAATAAAAGAAATGATCAACAACTAAAGAAGCTCTTGATTGTTAAACAAATTCTCCTTGTCAGTCCCTTAGGAAATGTATAAAGAACAATATGGAGAATATGCATGTTGATGTCGGGGGGTAAAGGTTCAAACAAGACACTGGAAACACTAGTTCTAGATTTCAAAGTTGTTTGTCGAAATTATCATGAAAATACACCTTCCCTGTCAGTTGCAATTACTGTTTATGTTGCTGTTGATCTTGCTGTTGTCAGTGGAACAGACCTGCTCTAACTTCGTTACTTTTATAGTTGCAGGTTATACAGAAGTAACATATGAAGAAACATAGCGGTGTCACATTATATTCCATGGTTAAAAAGCTAAGCTTTAGATTCATGTGAATTAGTGCGGTATTGTCAGAAAACAATAAAATTCTGTGACAAAGAGTTTCTGAATATACTTCCATTGAATTCGTTTGTGAGGGCAACCTCCGCCAAAAAAATTTTCCGACTCAGCGTTTTGCCCTTTTATCCCTCTTTCTCTTCCTGTCTTCGCTTTTTCTTCGATAGATGCATTCTTGACAAAAATAATCATATTTTGCGATAACCAGAGCAGCAGTTGTTTGTTAAGCGCGCGTGGCAGTTTGCATGTACAGCAAGGCTACCGAACTGCTGTTAGGCTATTGAACGATATATAGCGCATTATAGTCGCAGCAACATCATTCTATCCGTGATTCCAGTTTAGTCCGCTGGAATACTTAGAAACCCTCAGGCGCTAATGATACACCTTTCAACAACTTCAAACGTGCTAAGGATGAGCAACCAGACAAAGTCTGGTACCTTGACTATCCACGGCCAGGCCGGGCCAACAAGCCTCGTTCCTAAGGACAAGATTCCCGAGGGTCGTCTCGCATATAAAAGGGTTGCTCCTTCGATTGTTTTACGCAAAAGTCTTTTTTTTTTTTTTTGTAGGATGGGAAATGAGATGGCGAATGCTTCGGCCTATATTTTCTCCAAGTATCTTTTATCGCCCTCACTAAATTGTTTTCCTTATAAACGATTCGTGAGTTATGTAACCAAAGAAAAAAATCGATAAAAATTTTCCGCGTGAAGCATGATGCGAGTCTTGTTTAAGGGCCCCAAATCATCGGAGTAGGGGACCCTGGTTGGATGCAGCTTTGTTCTACTTTTTAAAGTAAACAAGTAAACAATTAAAATTGTTTTTAGAAGGAAACAACACGCTTGCGTTAATTGAGCATTCATTACACCTACACATCGCATGTACCTTTCTTCCCCTTCGTATGTGATGACCAATAAAGCTCTCAACAAATGAAATACCGACCCAATCAATTAACAAGTTTGTTACTTAATGAAACTCGCAAAAACTCCGTAAAAATACCAGTTTGAATTTATACGGGAAATTCATGTTTAACTTTAGATCTGTGGTGAAAACCCCTTTCCCTATTTAATTAGCGATGGCAGCTGCTGGAAATAATAACAAAAACTGAAAGTTTCTATTCCTGTGGCTATTTAGGCTTAATCTCGAAGTCAACGAATCAGAGAATAGGTGTTCAAACTATATTAAATTTAGTCCATTGTAGTCTTTTTTTTACTTTTTCCACCTCATAACAAACAAGGATATTTAACGTCAGATGGCTAAATTTGCCCCGGAATGTAAAATACAGTATAAAATTCTTAATTCAAGCTAAGACAGTATGCCAGTAATAACTCCGTTGGACTTTGAGGAAGAAATTTGTAAAATCAATTGTCATGCTTCTGTACTGCCGCCGATTACCAAGGCAAATGGTTATGAAAATCATCTTGGCAGAACAGAGGATAAGCTCCGCGAATATTTTTCACTCCCACGCATTTTATCAAACGCAAAACGACCAACGCGAACTCGAAGAAAAAGCAAGAAAAATGATGCGAAAAACACCATCAAGGAAGAAGAAAAGAAGGCCAAGGAAAAGAAACCTCCTCCGGTGGGAAAAATATCTGGAGAAATAACCAAATCATTTTCAATTGTTTCCAGTCCCGGTGGATCAAAATACTCGCTAATTGAAAGACGATTATCCTCAAGAATTGAAGAATTATTTGATATGGAAGATAACAACTTATAAAGAACGTTACAAGAAGTTTTTGTCCAACAGGGGATGAATTATGAAGTGAACCCACGGAGAAAGAAGTTAAGTAATTCAAAAAAAAAGTCTGCTCTCTAGATAAATTATTTCAACTGTATTAAAATTGATTTTATCAAACCACCAAGTGAGGCATTTGTTCGAAAATCAAAGTATTTTCGATTCTCAATACAAAGCACAAGCCGATAAAGAGAGAGAATTAAAAACATCTGAATTAACAGCACAAAACAATAATATATTGAAAATCGCCCAATCTGGATATATTAGTAAAATGTTGAAGTAGAACAAATAAAAAACACAAAATTACAGTACAGTGATCGCGTTTTCGGAATTGACAAAGGCTTCCTTTAAAGATGTTCTGTCATATCTTCTGTGGGTACAATGAAATAAAATATATAACCATATCTTTCCTTTGCGAACCAGAATATGGAAAACGAGTGATAAAACATATTACCTGTATTATATTAAAATATCCTATGTTAAAATTTCTTTGTTAAAGATGAATCTCGTTCCAGTTGGGTAGAACCGCTTGCTTCGCTTTTTCAACGTCGAAGTGACTTTTCGACTTCCACAATAAAATAAACCGACTCTGGTCCTGGAAAGAAAAATTCAAGGAAGGAAAAGGAAGAAATCAGTTATTCAAGGAATATTTAGGCAATAGATACCCTAACCTTAGGCTGTTTTGTAGTATATTTAAAGTGCAAGCTCATTTGATCACTTGGGGTAAAGATAAATCAGCGTTTGATTAACTGCTGATTCATTTCTGTAGCCTAGTAACTAAACTTATCGTGCAATTTTGTTTTACTTCAGTTTTCATTACAGTTAGGAAAAAAAAAAAAACCCTCAGACCAAGGGACTTAATGTGAGCTTTTCCACCGGAAACTGAAATAAAAGCCAAGCTAAACATTAAATCCTGGACAAGCGATAACACAAGATTTCGTTTTGAAACAATAATTGTAATTTTAACGAAGCGGAGAACAATGACCAGAAAAAAGTCAACGCATGTAGACATACTAGTATCGCAGAGGTCAGTGGTTCGAGTCCCGTACAGGCCTGAATTTTTTTCAGGTCTGATTTTCACTATTGCTTAAATAGTGCTTTACTGCGAAGGATCGTGCACATATACGTATGTAGACATAATTATTACCTTACCGCGAAATCAATTAGGAAATCGTTAACCCTTTACACCCTAACATCCATATGCATATTCTCCATACTGGTCCCTAGCTATTTCCTAAGGTGCTGACAACGAGAATTTGTTTAACAATCAAGAGCTTCTTTAGATGGTGGAGATAATTAGATGCTAGTCACTCTACAACGACGACAACAATGACGACACAACTGATGACAACAACAACAATCACAAACTTGTTACGTCATGCAGTAAATGGTTTGAACCCGGGGGTAACATGTGAAGGTGTAGTCTGATCGTCCGGGTGAGTGTAGTCCTGAGAAGGACTGTTGTCGGTGGCATTGACTGACGTTTCGACAACCTGTGCGGAAGTCATCATCAGAGTCAAGTGAATGATTGTTGTCAGTAGAATGTTCTTATTCCAGTTCGTGTGAAATGATCGGTTGGTTTTGCCGTGATGTTATTGGCTGTAAGACTCAAGTGACGTAAGTCGGTCGTGATTGGTCTGTTTCGGTCTGTCGGTAAAGTTAGGTTGTTCTTTTTCGGTCGTTTGTGATGTTTATGTCGTGAATGAGT